GCGAGGCCTCCCAAGAACTCGGTGACGCCAGGAAAGTAAAGTCTGGACCATCTAAGGTCGGTTGACAGGGGTAACGGTGAGAACCACCGTTGCCATACCAAACCCTATGAGGACAGCGAAGCCTCGGTCACTGCAGGGTTCGACGAGGACGCTGATGGTGAACCTGACACGAGACTGACAGAGTTTTCAGACGCTGAGGATGACAAAATAAACCCGGCCGAGGACTCGGTCGACATGCTGGAAAGGGCCTACAACTCCGTGATGCAGGAGATTGAAGCAGAAATTGCCTCCGGTAACAGAGGTGACGACGAAGATTTATACGAAAACATCCTGAACGAGATGGAGCTGGCTGATTACGCGCACGAGTTAGCATTTCTGGCTGACCGGACAGAGCTCTCATCGTCGGTGCTGGACTATACGGACTGAACGTTATGAACGAGAGCTTAAGTGGAGACGAACAGCGAAAATTCGTTGAAGTATTGAGGCGTCACGAGGGGAGGATACTTAGTCACCCATAACGACGGCCGACTCGGTTTCTTCATCCAACTCGTCAGGGCATCCGCCGTGAGCCACCGGTGGTGTCGGTGTGGGAACGCGAGGTGGGAGCCTTGCGTCTTGGCCCGGCGGATACTCGGCGACTGGGACGTAGAGCGTCGTTTGTTCCATGGGGTTGGGGGAAGCTAGTAGTAACCATGTAAACTCCTATCATTGCCGCCGACGGCTCCAAACCCAGGGGTCCTTGTAGGGCTCCTCTTGCAGACGACATGTTCTCGTCCGGAGTCAACCTCATAGCGTCTCCGGAGGCCAAGCTGAAAGGGCCAACGACTTCAGGAATAGGTCCACTACAGACTCGGGTGGCTTCATCCGACCCAGGCCGCGTAGGCACAGACAACGGTGCGTCGGTGCTCCCGCGGCGTCACTTCGGTCCTGGTCGGCTCACATCGGACTCGGACTAGTCACTGGGGCGCACATGCGCCAACCTCAGTCGGGTCACCATCGCGGATCCCAACATTTCTTGTGCTTCGGGTGTCAGCATCAAAGCGTCGCCATCGTTATCGACCGAGAACGCGGACGACACCTCCGGGTACAGGACTTGGAACGGCTCATCGTCGCGACGTACACTAAAATGACGTCCCCAGAGCAATCTCTTTCCGAGCGACCTGCTCAACCATGAGTAGTCCCCAGAGGAAGCTAGCGGCGGACATCTACTGCCCGTCTTGAGTCACGAGCAGCTCCGAACTCAGCGTGCGCGCCCAGTCGGGACTAGCCTCAGGAACGCGTAACGCGCGTCATGCAATATTTTCTGCAGCACGGCGATCACGGACGTGAAGTTCCGTGTACCGTCGGCGAAACGAAGCTCCTCAAAGTCAACCTGCAAGGTCAAAGGGTCGGTGACCACGGCCAAGCATGTATTCACTCCAAAAGTTGGCGGGTCAGGGCCGCCACGGCCTACTAGCTGAGGAGATCCCCCGAAGATGCCGAATAGTTTCCTTCTTCTTCCAGGAGCCAATTCCTCATCGGCCAGAGATGCCGGTTCGGGTACTAAGGATCCGAAAGTGGCACCACGTCAGCTTCCCGGGACATCCAGCGATGGAACCCTGAGCGGCCACATACTGGTGCACCTGGACGCCAGAATGCTGCGACTGGGATACCAAGTTGGTCCCAGAAGCGGAGTCCTGCAGCGAACTCAGGGAAGCGGCGATGGTCGGATGGAGTCTCAATGTTGAAAGTGCTTGCGCCGTACTTTGTCCAGGAGATCCCCGGTTTGTCAGGGTGATTTCCCCGACCTCCGAGTATGTGGCAGCTGCGGATTGCCCCTCGCTGCGGGTGGTGAGCGTATTCACCGGGTTTGGGTCTGCGTTCCCATAGGGAGCATACAAGGCGGTGGATTGTTCCACCGCGCGGTCAATGTTTGACCCACTGCCAGGATGTCCGGGGTCCCCGACGGTCTTGTGCCCGCTTCCCTGGGGGGATAGGCGGGGCGTCAGGTCGCGGCTAGCTGACCGTCGCTAACTCGATGCTCCGTACGGCGTTCGGTGCTGATGGGTCTTCATCCAATCTGGTTTCGATGTCGTCGGTGCGGCTGGAGCCAGGAACAGTCGTCAGGATCAGCGGAGCTGGGAAATCGTCACCGTCGGTATGGTCATCGAACTCGGCAGAACCAGGATTTCGGTGTCCGTTCCGGTGAGAGTCAACTTGCACGATATTGGAGCTTCAAGACGAAGGCGTTCCCCAAGTCCGGGTCGGCCTCTCACAGTGTCGCGAGAGGCGGGGCTTCGGAGTCCCCGGAGCTGTGACGTTACAGTAGACTCGATATTCATCAGATTAGGTTAAATTTGTAAGTGCTGAGATTCCGGGTACTGAGTTGTTTCCAGACCATCATGCAGCGGTGACAACAGGCATGACTCATGGTCCGTGTGGACGTGGAATTAACAGAACCAGTACCAAAAACGACGGATTATGTTCCAAACGATTTCATATGGCTTTCTTGGATGAAACGAGAGTAGATGGCGATGGTTATCCTCTTTAAAAACGTCGTAGTCCTGGGCCGCTGGACCCATGCAACGAAGAAAGTCCGCACATACCTACTTCAACTATAATGGTGCCGCGACAGATACATCACGTCAACGCGAACAGACCACGATGACGCAGAGAATCCGTTCGAGTTGATAACAGATGGGTTGTTCCATGTAATCCTTATCTTTGCCAAAAGTACGATTGTTACGTGAACGTGGAAGTGCGTTCAACCATTCAATCTATAAAATATCTGTACGAGTACGTGTACAAAGGGCAAGATCCCGCAACCGTTGTTCCTAGGGACCGAGGAAGGCGCGATGGCAATGATGAAAACAATGCCGTGGAAGAACGTGTCCATGATATTATGCAGTACCTGGATGCAAGGTACCTATCGTCCCCTGAAGTATGCTGGATAAATTTCAAATATGAGATACAAAACAAATATCATCACGTCCACTGGTTGCCTGTCCACGATGAAGGTCAACAGCGACTCAGTGGTCCAGGACCTGACATTGCAAGACGTTTGCTATACCATGAGGTTTCTATTCATTTTGTCTGGGTAAAATGGGTTACAGATACGTTTGGCAACTGCGACAGCGTGGTGGAGATAAAACTATAGGGCGTCTTATATCCATGTCTCCAAGGTATATCAGTCGTTATTATCTTCGCTTGATATTGTGCTATCGACGAGGACCAAGGTCTTTTGAAGATCTTAAAACTGGAGACGGTGTCGTCATGGAAGCATACAAGGCGCCAGCTTATCACTTGGAATATGACGAAGAAAGTCATCGTTGTCTGTTGGAGACCTCGGCTTTTCTAATGCCTCGCCAACTTAAATATATATTTGCGGTTTTGTTGGTTTACTCTAAACCTGCCAGTTCGAGCGAATTATGGGAGGCGCATATGCAAGCACTTTGCAAGGACTTTCAGCGAGATGAACTGAATTCTATTCGGTATGAAGTGTCAAATGATCAGCAATCTACAGACAATACCGGTGAACAACCAGTTCATCGCCGTGCAATATATGTGACACTCCGAGATATACATGAGCATCTACTTACAAACGGGCAAAATTTGGAAATGTACTTCGATTCGCTCCCACAATTTTCGAGTTTCACGATGTAGAAGTTGCCAGTGATGTGGCCTACAGAGAGCGCAATCGTTTATTGGGGGCGGAAACATCGTACACGCATGATGAGTTGCTGTATCTGTGGATACGCTGCATCAGCTCAATGATGATCAAAAGTCGGGTTTTAGTTACGGAAGCCGTATTCCTCACCGCGGCCAACAGATCACAGATACGTTGCAGTGGGAAATGATTTTTCTAGATCCCCCGTGGAACAGGAAAATCGTTTTTATTGGAAAAATCCTCGCATACGTTCGGAAAAAGAAGGTGTTCCGCTAGCTGTAGATGGATGTGGAATTGCTGCTCAGTTGCTTACCGGAGGAAGGACGGTTCATTCTGTGTTCAAATTACCTTAAGGTCCTCATGAGACATCTACTTGTAACATCGGATCCAGGTCATTTGTTGCTGCTTTACTCAAATGCACAAATATTATTGTCTGGGATGAAGCTCCTATAACTCACCAGTTTCTGTACGAGGATCGGACTCTTCAGAATGTAAGGAAGAATGATATGCCCTTTGGGGGTATTATGATACTTCTATGTGGAGATTTTAGACAAACGCTTCCTGTAGTGCTGGTCCAGCTGAAGTCTTTTCGTCCACCATTAAACCTTCTGAGCTCTGGAGATATTTTGGGTGTCTATTAACATGAGCGTTCAAATATCTCGAAACTCACAAACCGCAGTGGAGGTAGGGGCTTTCGCCGATTATCTCCTTCAAGTTAGAGATCAGAGATACTTCATTTCGCCTACGTTGAGCCCCGACTTCATCAAGGTTCCCGAAGATATGTTGTTAGCTGTTTCCAGCTTACCTCAGTCTAACATTGAGGAACAAGCTCGGCATCGATTACTTCACTTAGTGAAAACTATCTATGCAGACTTAAACAGCGGAAACCATCCCGAAGACAACGTTGCGGACATAACTATCTTGATGCCAAAAACCACTGACGTCATTGCTATCAGCAAACTGATACTTAAAAGATCCCTGGAGAAATTCTCGAATTCCTGTCGGTGGACAGCGTAGATGGAGACGACGAACTTCAGCGACAAGAACATGGAGATCTGTATCCACTAGAATTCCTAAATAATATTTCACTGAGTGGGATGCCTCCACATAAGTTGAATCTGATAGTAGGAACTCCAGTAATGTTGATCCGAAATCTGAATACGAAAGAAGGTCTCTGCAACGGAGCTAGACTTAGAATTGTTCAGCTACGACCAAATTGCATGGCGTCTGCACTTATGAGTGGTGATTTTGCGGGAATTTGAGTCGTCATACCTCGCATTGCTTTGGTTAGTAGAAATCAGGCTGTCCGTTCGAACTGCGATGAAAGCCGTTTCCGGTACAGGTTGCATTTGCGATGACGATCAACAAGTCGCAATGTCAATCTATTCAGAGAATTGGACTGTATTTACCAGAACTAGTTTTCTTTCATGGGCAATTTTACGTGGCAATGTCTCTGGTTACTTCCCGAAACAATTTAGTCATTTTGGTGGACCCTGCTACAACTTCCGAAGGGGTATACATGAAAAATATTCTGTATCGAGAAGTTGAAGAAGTAGTTGTTTAAAAAAGAATCATGCATACAAATTAGATGTAGGATAACAAAAAAGTAAAAATTAAAAAACATCGAGCGTAGCGAGGTGGATGCATGTCAATTACGTGTCCTACGTTAAAATATTCAATTTTATTAGAAAAAGTAAAGAGACAAAAAACCACCCGCCGAGCGTAGCGATGCGGAAAAGCCCTTGACTCGGCTTAAACTTGCCCAAAGAGCCCCGCTTGCGGGGCTCCGCTCGGCTTGTTTTAAAGAAAATGCAACAGTAATAAAATATGGTTAATATATATAGTTTTAGATGCTCTCAGTATGAACCACAGATTATTAATACCATGTACAATGAAAGTGCAAAGTGCCGAAGCACATGCTCTGAATCTCATCCCCTTGTCGTATGCCATGCGCTCATAGTATTACATGTACTGGGATCCTCATTATCACTTGTGTCGTGTAGGACACGATAGAATTCTCACTTTTGGGTGAGTTCCTACCAACAACACACGCTTCCCCGCAAGGAAATCGATTGTTGGATCAATACTGAAGACCACAAACGATCCCTTACACTGGGTTGGTCTAGACTCTGTGTACCCCGGGTTGTCTTCGGTCAACCCTTAGAAAACTTACCTAGCCATGAGCTAAGGCTAGGAAGTATAGTAAGTATAGCGCTCGTGCGCAAACCCACGGCAGTCCCTCAGAAGGAACGGTACCGAACTTACCAGACCTGATACAAGGGTACCAACGAAAACCTCGGTCGGAAGTTTAATATGTGTGAGAACCTTCGGTCAATACACAAACACACAGGACGAGCCTTATTTATCGTTCTATACACGACCACTTTCTCCTCTTGGTATTGCCTTAGCAGGTAGACTCTCAGTTCAGTGCACCTGAAGTCTATCTGCAGGCATCCACACAACTAGGCGTATTCAGGCCCTTAGATAAACTAACTACACTTACCGAAGACGGACTTGACCCTTGTTAGCTGGAGGAGAACTGCTTTTTGTTACTGAATAAGTAGGACTCTGAGAGCCCCTCTACACTCATCATATGATGAGTCTTACCCTATAGACAATCAATTGCTGAGTCCGATACCCCTATATACAAATATCAAGTATAAGCGAAACTTCCTGGACACCCTCTAGTCGTAGTTCTGCGACGACCGAGACTTCCCGTAGGTGCGATACCATCATTCCCGTCCGAAACCTCGGCCGAAGACATGGGTACAAAATATTTAACTTAGCCTAATTCAGAGGACCTCGGTTAGATTATATTAGTATAAATAAAGCCTTGAATAGTCACTAAACAAAGTTGTCACTCCAATGCGGGGAATGCAATCCACTCATACGAGGCTTTCACACGAAGTCTCTGTGACAGTTGGCTCGGTGACAGGGCGCTTAGTGTTTCCCGAAAACACATCACCACAACTGCCCCCGGCTCCACACGAGCATCTAGAGCTGGTGACCGTCGAGACGCGCCCGTATCACGAATCGGTTTTGGATCGCCGTTTAGATAGCGCCTCGACCCTCGCCGAGGTCTTGACGGCTGCTGTGGCTCCTTGCCATCTACCGGCCCACGAGTCCGAAGAACTGACTGACCTCCGCAACGAGGTCTCGGTCCTCCAAGCTCGTTGCGATGATGCCGAACGTGGCCTTGCCACAGAAGTCCAGCTTCGTACTAAGGCTGAAGCTGACAATGTGCGCGCCAACGAGGACTTCTACACAATGAATAACTCGAATGGCTCTCTTCATGAGGAGAACGCGGCCTTGGCGACTCGCATTCGCGACCAAGATATGGTCATTGCTCGGCAAACCGCTGCCTTGAAGCAATCGGAGCGTCAATATTGCGCTGCCACCGCTGCCGCTATGCGGTTTGTCGAGCTGGAGCGAGCGTCTCAAGGCAGGTATGGTGGGATACACCCTGGAGCTCGAGAAGCTCCGCCAGTATTTGGCGGAGCATGACCGAGGGTCGATCTTGACCCCGTCACCTCGTATGAAAGCTCTGCTGGCCGAGAATGCCAGCCTGAAGCGGGCTAACTCAGTCCTGCATGAAAACTCAGCGGACCATGGATTGAATACCGATGCCCTCGTCCTCTCGACGGCAGGTATCTCACCCATGGATAGTGATTGGAAACTTCTAGGGCTTTAGTCTCCTCACCCTGGCCTTCGAAGGGTCGCAGAGTCTGAATCCGAGGTTTCGTCCGCTAGTGGAGACGACGCGGAAGAAGAATCGTTGGCTAGTGGTCAACCTGTGGTTGATGAGTTGAGCTCTCAAGTATCGACCGAGGTACCGGTGGCGTCATAACGCCCGGTCAAGGCGTCACCACCAGCGATCGAGGTTTTCGATACTGCTGCTGCTCACAGTGGACTGTTTAACCCATCGTCGCCAGAGGTGCTGTGCCATCCCGCAAACGTCTTCGTCTCGTTCAGCACACCTCCGATCAAGTTCCTGCTACTCCTCATTTGGAATCCAAATTTTGGTTGCCGGCCGCCAAGAGATTGGGGCGACCATCGGTTAGCCTGGGGCCCACCAGCAGGCCTTTTCAGATACACCGCCTTCGGACAAGTTCTCACCAAAGCCTCGGCAACCTGTTCCGACTCCATCGGCAGCGGCCACGTCTGCGGTCACCTCAGACCAGGTAACGCCACCTGCGGCGTCCAGTCTTGACGATGGTGATGACGCCGACGAGGACACGGGTGGACTCGATGACGACATGGGTGATGACCCCATATCATCGGACGAGGAGACCAAGTCTGGTGAGGGATTGGAACCTGTGGTGGATTCCACTGTCTCCGAGTCCCCGGTGCCCCAGTCTACGTCTGAGTTCCTGGACCTGATGTCTGAGCTAGACGCGGACATGACACACTTGGTCTTCTTGGAGATGAGTTCAGACAGACAAAGGCTCAAATTTGGCACCACGCCTCCTGCACACCTGGCTTCGTGAACCCGGGCTCCAATAGATAGACAGCATTGAGCGGGGGCTTGTTGGTCTTGTTGGATACGGAGAGTCCAAGTCACCCTTATTATCGGCTTCGCAGTCGGTTCCCGACCGAACTCTGCGTATACGTCTTGGGTGAGTTCACGGCGGGCATTAAAATCTCCATTCGAGCTACCGGTAATGGCGCGGCAGTCCGTCTTTGGCGCCAATTTTTTGGCAATGGGTCTGGGCCAACTGAGAAGACAATCCTCGGTCTTGTGTTATGGGAGCACCGACATTGGATTCAAGTCCCGGCGGTGGAGAATGCTATCAGAGACGTCGCTAAAGAAATCGGACCAACTGATGTTCTCGTCCGAGTTCTCGTTGCGATCTGAAAAAAGTATAATCTCGAGCGCGACTACCGATTGGATCGCCTCCGCACCCAAATCTCGCGCCGCTTATGGGAGTGGTGTACCGAGGCGGAAGTCGACCTCACACGATCCCTCTCGACATCTACCGGAACCCACTTATCTCCAGTACTCTTTGGAGGTATTGGATTGGGCTCCAATGACTGACGACTGGATTAAAGAATTGCGCACGCTGAACGCCATGCAACCGTGGTGGAATTGTTGGGTTGATGCTCCCGCTGAGCACCCTTCAACACGACGTACGCTCCCTGCAACTTCGAGGTCTCACTAATCATTCCTCGAACAATATCTCGTGCTCACGTTATCTCTAGTATTGTGGTGCACCCGTCACTGGAACCTTCTCTGCTCACCGCTTTTTGGGTCCGTGAGACTTTGGTGAACAATTCTGTTGGTGCTACTGATGCTGCAGGAACTGCCGTGGCTCTCTTCGACACTTCGGCTGGTCTCGCCACATATGACCCCCAGCCGACATAGCCTCTGCCCGTTTTGACACGCTGGTCGACCTTCCTTCTTGTCAGGATATTTATGCTGTCAGGAGATTTAGGTCTTCGACACAGGCTCTTAATTCTCGTTTTCTCCTGCGTTGTCCTAGTTTTCAAGTTAATTTATTCGTAGTAATCCATGATTCAATCGTAAGTCTTCATATTCCACTCGAAACCAATCCATTCTGCTAATATCGGTGAACCTGAAGAAACTACTCAAGATATGGATGCTAAAGGACGGGCTATTTTGAAAAAATAAAAAACATCATGAGATTCTTCTAGGGAACGGAAATGCGGTTCCTACACCGGCGAGGGGCGTTTTCTGAGACCTGCACGTGAGTGGAGCCAAGCCTATTGCATAGAGGTCTAGGCAAGTGCCATACTATCATCTGCAGAAGGTATAGGATCTGTTGAAGAAGCTGTTAGAAACCGAGCTGATCGAATATTCAGATTCTGAATGGGCCCCTCCCATTGTCATTGTGACGAGAAAGAACGGGGTGGATATTCGACTCTGTATTGACTATCGACTGGAAAATCAGATGATCAAGCTTATGTACTATCCTCTGCCCTTGAGCGACGCTTTATTGATCGGGTTCGAGAATGTAATGTGGTTTCTGAGTCTGGATACGGATAATGGATTCTGGGCTGTGCCAATGACACATAGGGCACAACCTATATCAGGTTTTGTGTGTCCCCTAGGCCACTTTCAATGGAATAGGATGCCATTTGGGCTCAAGAATGCACCGTTGATCTATCAGCAGGTGTGTATAATTGTCTCTGGGGTTTTGGGCGCCTTCCGCCCGAAGAAGAAGCTAAGGTGGATCCTGAAGGCTTGGAATTTTGGGAATCAAGTCTGAGAATAAGGTCGAAAGACGAGATTTATCCCCCTTGACCGTAGATTTGACGATGTTCCGAAGGAATATTCCTGCACCTGCTGAACTTAGGCCTGTTCTGGGACGAAATTCGTATATGGATAATATCACATATGGAGCAGAAACCTGGGATCAAATGTGTATCGATCTAGATCGACTGTTCTATCGATAGCGATATTGAGGAATCTCTGTGAGTCTTCCAAAAAGTGAGTTTGGCAAGAGAACTACTTCGTACTTATCTCATGAAATTGGAGCTGAGGGAATCAGAGCCAAATCTACGATGTCAAGAATCTGCCGTTCTCAACCACCCTCAAAGGTGTACAATCATTTCTGAGAAGTCTCAACTACTACAACAAGTTCATAGAAGACCTCTCGGTGGTTGTAGCTGTCCTGTATGAATTGACAGATGAGCAGATCCGAATGGGTAAAAAATCTGGAACCTGCAAAGGAAGCTTTTGCAATTCTCAAGCAAAAAATTGTCTTCACTCCCGTATTGAGACATCCAGACAAAAAGAAACCATTCATTATCATCCTACACGGAAATCATTGGGCAGTGAGTGCGGTGTTGGGTCAAGAGTACGATATCCGGTCCGATTCACTGGCAGGGTACTACACGATCAAGAATTGCGATATCACCCGGCAGAGAAAGAAATAGTGGGGTTACTCAGGGTTCTCAGAGTATTCTATCCTATGTTAACAGGCAACGCCACCTTGAAGGTGTATACGCGTTATTCAGTTCTGGGAAGGTTATTTAAATCTAAGGCCTTAGAAGGCAGTTGTGAGCAATGGGCAGCCAGGTTGGCACCCTGGCCGCTGGAAATGCACAAGATCCAGAATGACGAGGACGGATTAGCGTCAATTCTGGGAGCCGGAATTACTCCGCGTGACAAACTCGATCAAATTGCTGAGAATCTCATCCCAACAAAAGGTCGAGTAGTTAGAGCTCCTTCTATTAGCCTCGAGATGTTGGAGTCTGGCTACGAAGGTTGGCACCTCAGTTTTAACGGTTCAGCTAGGACCTCGGATCGACTGGGAAGTTCTGGGTGTATCCTCTGGAAGTTACCTACTTGGGAAGTGGTTGCAACTCGAGGTTTCCATTTTCAGGACATCACGGTGAATGAAGCAGAGTATCATGGTATGATTGAGAGTTTAAAGATGGCATTGGATCGGGATCCGGCATTGATTGTCGTAGGTGATTCTCAGATAGCTATTCCTCAAGCCCAGGGACTTATTCAGCACCTGAATCCCAGGTTGCAGTTGTTGCTCGCTCCGTTCGAAAGACTACGCAGAGATTTCAAGTCTGTACGCCTAGTACATGTGAAACGGGAGTATAATGCTGCCGCTGATTACGTGATGGGCAAAAACAGCTTTGTCCCGGAACTCCGTGGAAGTTGTGGACGCGATTGCGTTAGCTCACCTGAAACAGATGAATAGGATACCCGAAAAGCTGGTGAAGCAAAGTACTTTGGAAGACACGAAGTCTGAGAACCCAATCATGAAATCGGAAAAATTGGCACCCCTGGAAACTCAAAGAGGAACGGAGCGTGTAAGCTTCTGTTTGACAATTCCCGAATCTGAATCGGTAGAAGTCGCAGCTAGCCTCTTCTCGGATAATTGTCGCCGTTACAAGAAGTAGAGCAAGAGTCTCACCACCGGTGTATCCAGGAATTTCTGAGGCGATGATAGAACAACCGAATTCTGGAACGTCTGAGAATACTATGGAACCCAGAGGATATCTACCTGAAGGAACGACGCCTGTGGCAGCAATAGTTGAACGTTGGCGGCGTATTTATACCCACCAGCAGACTGAACCTTAGATTCGTCGCCTCACCACTTATTTGCGTGGAGATCTGAAAAAACTCTCAGCTGTCTAAGCGGAAGAAGCTGCAAAAATCGCTGATCAGTTTACATTAGACTCCCGGATTGTATTATACTACCAAAACCGGTCGACACCAACGAGGCCTAGGGACGCGGAAGATAATCCGAGACTCGTGGTCCCCAGGATACTCCAGAAAGGTTTATTGCATCTGTGCCATGAAGATTATAAATGAGGTTATCCGGGGATCCATAGAACTCAGGAGCGCTTACGTCGGGAATACTATTGGACAGGAATGTACGGGGATGCTGGACGTTGCGTGAGGTAATGTGAAGATTGTGCCACCGCTAAGGGCGCACCACCGAATCCTGGACCCTCGCCTGGTAATATTGTCGCTACTAAGTCATTTGAGGTGTTATCTATAGATTTCATGACACGTCTGCCAAACTCAGATTGAGGCAACATATTCTTGCTGTTATTCCTATGCGTATTCTCAGGGTTTATTATTTGTAAACCAATGAGTGATACCACAGCACAAGCAGTTGCAGAACCTTACATGGAGCGAGTATTCCAGCATTTCTGTGCTAGTAATATGGTCAGGCATGACCGAGATTCATGAGTGAAGTCTTCACGAGATTCCGAGAGATACTGGGAAGTAAACAGAGGGCAACCTTAGCTTACAGACCTCAGGCTAACAGTCAGCAGGAACGATTAGAGCTTATGCAGAAGAGCCAGATCAAAGTGACTAGGACGACCAGGTCTAGAAGTTGATGTGGGCTTCAAACACGTATTTTGATGCTACCCGCCTAAACACTCCGTTCTACTTAGTGCACAGCTGGGACCCCCAGAATTCTGTGAATGCAATGCTGGGAAAGACACCGACAGGGTTTGACCAGAAGACAGCGTACGAGTGGAGAAGAATTACTCAGCGCCAGTATGAATACGCCCAAGCTTGGGTTAAGATCGACTAGCAGAGGCCAAGTCGAAACGATCTAAAGCTCAGACTCAAGTGTGGAAAGAATTGTCAGACAGGCTCAAACAAGGTTTCCAAGTAGGAGGCTCGGTGTGGGTCTACCTGGCTCGAGTACAACCTGGATTGAGCTAGAAGTTTGCTCATCTCTGGCACGGCTCTTTTAGAATCCGTGAGGTCTCAGATGATTTTCGCTGTAAGCTCAAGATCGAAGGCACCGCGTACAAGGTATATCCTTGGGTGCATGTAAGCAGACTCAAACCGCGTGCCTTATTCCCAGATCGACCTACTGAAGAGGTAGAAGCCTCAGAGGACGATGAACTCGATGCTGCTCTGCTACCTGAAGATGTTTCTGAGCCCGATGAAGCCCAAAATGTGTATGAGGTAAAAGCGATTCGAGATGTACGATGGGTCAAGAGAACTCGCACCTCTCGGAGGGTCCGAGAATACTTGGTGAAGTGGAAAGGATATACCGAATTACATTGGTTACCAGTTTCCCAGTTGAATTGTGGAGCTTTACTTTATGATATCAACAAGAGCGTCAAAGGACAAGCAAGGTTTTGTGCGATGCAGTCTGGAGACATTCCTGTCGAGCTCTAGCCCACAGGGGTGACCCAGATAAAACGAAATTATGCATGTGAACATGGCAGAAGGTGACTGTGTATGTGTATTCTCCGCTTGTCCAAGTTAAAGAATTGGAATGGTATGTGACGAGAATCTGTGAAGACTGGTGAAGAGTGTTTTCGGTGTGTGGAAGAGTTGTCTATGGTCTACCCGAGGATATGAGTGGAAGCATTGAGTGTCAACACCAATTGACCTGTGAAAGAAACAGAAATGAACTTGTGGAAATGAGAAGAGCTCTGAGAATTTCATTATGGAAGTTATACGTAAAGTACTTAAGGGACCCTGGGGTGAAGTCAAAGACTGACAGCAATAGTCGGCAGAGGAAGAAGGAACTTCAGATGCTTGATATTGCGGTGGCGGATCTTCTGTGGTGCAATATCCAGGTAGCAGTCATCTGAAGTGCGTGTGGCCCACTGAGTTTGAGCAGGCTCCATGCGATCAATGTCTCGTATTTGCTGTTCCAAGGGAAACCCTTGCTCAGGATGGCGTAAAATCCTATCGCAAGGATTCATGGAGACTACCCAGAATCCAGCTTCGAACCACCAGATATCAGAATAGCCTTTGATCTTCGCCAGGGACGTCATGAGTTCATCTTTCGCTTTCATGAAACTGCTGGCTCGTGCCTTACGGTCGTTATACATGTGATTGATCACGAGACGATGAGTCTTGTTCAGCCGTTGAAAGCGAGGATCGTTACGAACATCCATATCAGCACTGATGGTGAGCCAATGACCGCGCTCCCAATATTCACGACGCCACTTGTACATGAAGTTGAGAATTCTTGGCATTGCAGCGTAGAACTCGTCTTCGAACATCTCGAGCGGAAAGAAAACCAAGACCTTGACGCGACTACGCCACATGTCCTCCCAGGGGGCCATCAAAAGCAAGTCCAAGTGCTCGAATACGTCCCAACGAGCGTGCAGAGCCGCGATAGCATGGCGCGAAGTTTGTAATCTGGGAACACCAGTGTCTGCTGAAGGTACTTCTGGACCATGATACCGTAGAAACGTCGGCTGGACTTGCTTGTGACGGGCTCAATGACTGTGTCAACCTCCTGGATAGGCTTGAGTGATATGGAGAAATGTCGAATAGGAGCTGCAGTCTGAGAATGAACACGAGATTTCTTGGATTTGCGAGGTGGTGACATACTCTTTCGCCCACGTTTCTTCTTGTTACTTACGTGGCTCGACGGAACCGGTAAGCGAGACTTCTTGAAGGAGGGTTTACTACCATCGTCCGCGGAATCACCTTCATTGTCGCTACTTTGGTCGTAAGCAGAGAACTCTGCATCATCACCTTGGATATTAGCTGAGAATACTGGAAGAGGATCCCAGGGTTCAGGAGCAGTAGCAAGATGAACCTCGCAAATGCTAACCAAAGCATTATCCAAGCATTCATCTGGGACTGACTGGACCCACGGCGTGAAGTTCAGCTGCTGCCAATAGATAACTGACCTCAGCATCTGATGTAGAGCTTACTTGCCAATCCGAGAGTGTAGCAGAGTGGTCCTACCAGCCGACTTCACAGCGTCCCAGAATGCAGTACCACCTAAAGCCAATTTTCGGACGTCGGCACGAGTATGTTTCCATGTGAATGGTCTGGGAATCAAGCGCTTGGCGTCTGAGACTGGGATAGTAGATGGAGAACGATTTAGAGCTCGGACGGAGTTGGGATGATGTCTGTCAGGACGATTGCTTAAATAAAGTCATTTCAGGAAAGACATGACCTTGGAAGATGGAGACGAAGCACCCTGTGGAGATTAAGAATGTGGCGTATCTGAGGCAGAACCAGTAAGGTTGACCATATTACCGGGTGCAGATCCTTTCTCCTCCAATTCGGGGACTCCAGAAGCATCAGGAGAGAGAGGTCTGAGAGCTTGATTGTCTTCTTCGCTCTCGGAGTCGGCTTGGGAGTACATTTGTGCAGCTGAGACAGTGTATGGGCTGCATGGCCAGACGAAAAAGCTGAAGAAAGCTTAGGTGTCACAGATTTGTGACGGTGAGGCGTGTACGGAGTGCAAGCATTGCTCACGAGACCTCGGGCTTGAACGACCAAAGCAGTCACCGCTTTTGGGTCCATGTTAGCGTTGGCCCAGTAGTGTTCCACCAACTCCTGAAGACGGGGCGAGTAACCCACGAAGTTGCAATTTTCCATGATAAAGTCCATGAGACCGTCAGCGGATAACGATCTGACAGTGGCGATCTCTGCTTCAGCCTTATCTGCGCGAAATTTCTCGAGACCCATAGTCTTGAGGATGTCCTCAGCGAGGACGTTACAGAGGTTTTCTATCTCCTTGAGTCGCTTACGCAATTCGATGACCTTTACACTCAAAGTTATGACCTTACTGGTCGCTGCAGTGAGGTCTCGCTGGGAAAGGCTGGCGATGCGACCAGCGTTGAGTTGTAACCGCAGGGTGCGAACTTCGGCCGCATGATCGGCTCGGGAGTGATGCAGTAGGCCCTCCAGTTGCGCCACCTGATTCATGAGCTCGTTGTTGCGAATCACTACTTGAGTTGAGCCGTTGGAAGCCCGAGAATGATGTACTTGGTCCAGTGTCAAACGCAAGAAACGCAGCGTAGCTACTACGCTGGGTGCAAAACAGTCGGCCCCAAAACAACGCAACAGAGGGAGTCCTCACGGTCAACCCGAGCGCAAAATCTGAGGGTTGTGGAAATCCGGCGCAGCCTGCATTCGCTGCTGAAATGGCAATAGAATCTCCGTGGTCATCGGTATCCTAGTAGATCCGGTCAATAGGACCGAATCCGCGTAAGATAAACCAGGAACTTGCATGACCCGCATCAGTCCAGCAGGTTTTTGCTCCAACTGAGCATGACCAGCAACGTCGTCGAGTGAGGCAAGAATGTGAATCTGGGTAGGCATCGGAGTCGCGAACGTGCGTGAATTGTGCACCGGTATTTGTAGCGGATATGGTCTGGCTGTAGGGCAGTCTGGTAATCGCAAGCGAAGATGCTCCCCCGTTAATGATAACGGGAGTTTGCCGGCACCACCCCGCTCAAATTGGCG